GGGATGTGTCTCATTGTAATTCGTATTAACTAAAATCAATCGCTCCTAAAGGAAAATAATTTTAACAATTATCCGTTATCTGTATACATTGCTGATTCATTTAGACCACAAGAAGATATCGTGACATTGGAATATAATTATTAGAAACGTACACAAGAATATTAACAAAATTTCATCAATTTTTAAATTTCCAGGTTCGGGATCATTTCTTGCAAGTTTAATGTCCGATAACGTCGTAAAATTACACACCGAACGCCAGTACGTGACGTTCTAATAAACCGACAAGGAAAACGCACCCCCGTCGACGCTCGACTCTCCGCATCGACCGAGCCTGTCCCCAGGGAAATATCTGTCAGAGATGCTCGCTACTGTTTTCCAGAAATTTATTTCCACTCTCGACCTGCTCTATCCAGAATCGTGGCTTTTCATGGACGATTTCATCCAATTGCACAGCATTCCGTGCAACCTACTCGATTTTACACATAATCATTCTCGGTTAGTCCTCTACCGTTCAAAAATCATAAAAATTCATTCATTATAAATTCTGAACTCCGTATTAGCCTCGATCACTTCGCGATAGTTCTTCAGGTTTACGATTCTTTGTAAAACGTTATTTCTATCGTGAAGAACCAAAATGTTCCACATTATTATCGAAGCATAGCACTGTTCTATTGTTAACAACGAAACCTTATCAGAACCCTGTTCCATTTATCTGCCTCCGTGATTCATCCCCTGTGAAATTTATGAACGATATGACGCATTAAGGTTGGTCATAAGCTTTATATCAACGTTTCTTTGTTCCTCCTTCTTCCGCTTTTCGTTCGCCCACCGACATCCGTTTGTCCTTTGTCGGTAATCTTTACACGAGGCACGGTTTCCAGGAACGACCGCGATGACAATCGCTCGCAACCCCGGAATAATTCGCGCCCCGATCGTAGGGGAAACACGAAAAAACGCACGCGATTAGGGAAAAGGTAACGACGTTTTTACGAGTGTTTGGGCATGAGTTGAAACGAAATTAATTATACGCGGTAGAACGATCTCGAGATAGCCACTAAGCTCGGCCTAGCTGTTGCGCTCGATATTTTGCATCCCTGAAGGACCCTCTTGTACAGGAGGATCGAGAGTCCTAGGAGGATGGGCTTTGATTGGTCGTACGCGTCGCCGATGCAAGCGATACCGGGTCGCCGCGCACTGATTGCCACTCCAATTCGCGCCGTCTGAACGGAAACGCGTTGGCAAATCGATTCATCGAGCGTGGAACGATCACCCGGGATAAAGCTAAAAGGATATCGAATCAGTACCGGGAATTAGCGGGATGCGATTGACTGAGAGCGTTCGTTAGTCGATCGCCGAGTTCGTCTACGATTTATTCTTGTCCTGTTCGATGTGAACTGTCGAGAAAGTTACGGTAATAATTACATTTGAAAATTCATTATTTTTATCCTTATTAATTGGAGTTCCGATATATCTTAGAATTCTAGTAATTCGAAGCGATAGCTTCAAGTATCGGATTAAATAACCAATCGTTAGGACACTTAATGATCCAATTATCGCATGCAATACCACAGATAGCTGCTTCTACTGCGGCAGTCGATATGTTTCACCCTCATACTCTGTATCTATGCACTGTGCAAATGCTTTATGATTTTTTTAACAGTCAATGCCGCTCTTATTATCATTCGGTCGTGTTCAGTGAACTTTTTCCTTGACATGTTCTACTGTGTACTATAACGACTAAGTTTTAAAATCCACCTTTCTGGATCATCTTTCAAGGAATTGTCTATCTGTCTATTATTAAGCCGTCGATCTTTTAGATCATTAATCTTTCTGAGAACTCCCTTCTGTTTCGAAGTGATAAATACCTTGATAAACGATACCCAACGCTTCTACAAACTTCCAAGAAAACAATTTCATTTATCTCTACGCCTTCTTTCCAGAGAATGAAAAATCAAAATGTTCCCAATGAAAGGTAACAGGTAATTGACAATGAATAATGGTGTATCGCTAACTTTATTATTAATATAATTGGTATACACAAAAAGCTACCAAGAAGAAATTCCCAAAAGTTTTTGAACATCCCACGTATGGTTCTTGGTCCGAGGAAGATTCAGACATTCGACGAGGGTATTTTCGTCTTCAAGGTCCTCGCGATATTTCTTTAAGCGTCCAGCCCTCTCGAGCGTACAATGCAACTTTATCCACAAAGACACTCGACTCTCTAACTTTTCTTCAATTTATTTTCAAACCCCCGATCGAATAAACATCGTCGTCTGATTCTCTGATTCTTCCCGATAAAATGTTTACAACTTCCTCTCTTATCCATCGATCGCGATCGTACTTTTGCACGAGCTTAAAATTACAGTCGAAAAAGCGTCGTCTTTTAAGTAGTCGAGAAAAGCGATGGGTTTCGCCGTCGCATTTTGCAGCGCCGTTAAAACCGGATGCGTTCGAGCCGATGAAACATTTCCGTAATGTCGTGCACCGAGTGCGCAGCTAAGCATTCGCATAATGTTCCATCCTGAATTGCAGTAGACAATTGCGGATATCGATATAACTCGCGCACTCGCCTCGACGCACGTTTACCCTCGATCGGCCGATGCCAATAATGCAATAATCCGTGCACTTTAAATGTTATGAATACCGGTATTATTGAAAGGGCGCGTGGATTTATCTGGCCGGAGGTCATTTGCCAATAGGAAAGTTTGATTTTTCCCGACTATGTTGCGTTTCCAATCAGAGAAGTCATTAAAATTTGTTAATCTTCTTCATAGGAAATATATCGTTAGTGTTGTACATTTGCATAACAATTCATAGTCGTCTCATTATACATGGAAAGTAGTCGATTTCTTTATATACTGCATTGGCCGGGCTGATATCGAGCTATTCCACTTGATCCGCCGTAAGAAGGTGAACGTTAACGTGGGACGCGAACTCGGTATCACTTTCTTTCGCTATTCTTTCATTTCGCCGCATAAAATATGTTGAATAATACAGCAGTGGAGTTAATGCGTTCTCTTTATGCTGCCTTAACACGTTCGCCGCAACGAGGTCGTTTGCAACCGACGAGGGAAGTTTTTGTTTCGGACGCGATAATGACCGGCATTATTTCTAACGAGTCGAACACGTGTTTTAAAGAAATCCCGTTACTGTGTTATTTAACGGCGATCGATGAAACGTTTGTATTGTTGTTATACGTTAATTGACGAGCAAATAACTGTTCGCATTGTGTAGCGTTAAATTTGGAACAACGGCTTTCGAGGCAGGCTGACGCAAACAGAGAAACAAGGGAACTTTCAATACTGATCGCGAATATATATGAAGTATTTTGAAAAGAACCCTCTGCTTCGTCTATTCGTTTCGAAACACCGGGCAAGTTATTTAACCGCAGAAAAGATAGCTCAGCTTCCCGCGTCACTGTGAAGGCTATTCATCGTGTATTTTAACTCTGCCAGAACTTTGGAATTCCACGCAACATTATTCGATGGTTGAAAGTCGTTTGGCATTCGAGAGGCGTCGGAGGCGAACGAGCCGAAGCAAACCGTACGACGAGTTGCCAACGATAGCTGCGAGGCGTAAAAAGTTTTTCCGAATAGCTGTTTTATCGAGCTCTTCCTCTCCGTCGTCTTCGTCGTTGCCGTTTCTTCGCGTACTCCGTGCTGCTCGTATAAACTTACACGAACTTGAAGCATCGACGATAAATCCAGAGAAAGAGGGGCTCCTTTCGATTCCCGCAGACAGGGTTCACACGAATTTCTTCGATGTACGCGTTCTTCGTGTCGTCGACCAATCTCTTTCGCGTATTTTTCTATCGAATATCTTCGCGGTTGAAGTGGTTTACGTGTCTTGAAAGATTGCTATCCAAACACGAGTTGATCTTTCGGTTACGTTCGCCGTAAATAATAATTATAGAGGGTGCAATGGAAGTACTTGCGTTATCGTTAAACCTAGTTTACCCTACTATCCCATTTCTGCTAATTTTATTACCTTACCAACCACTTGGAACGAGTATAGTACACAAATTTTCCCTGTTAGCCTTGCTTACCCTTCCATTTATTTCGCCAATGTAAATTTGTCCTATATAAGATCATCGCCTGTAATAATAATAAAAAAACATAAGGGAGCATCTGTTCACCAGATGTAAGAAGAGACACGCGTTTTCTGTATTCTTGAAGCGATGGAACGGATATGGGCCCTCAAGGTCGTTGGAACGAAGCCCACGTTGCTTTCCGGGCCGAATACTGATCCCACTTCGGATCCCCTGGTTCGGAATCCTCGCGGATTAGTATCCATTTCCCCGAGGCACGATGGCTTGGCAGAAGCTACCCTGATAGGATTTATTTTGAAAGGCAAAGGGTGAAAGCGGTAGAAAAGAGGTAGATAGAGGGAGCGAGGGAAAGATCTCCTTGTATGAACGTCACGAAACCGAAATATGCTATATACCCCCGTGATCCTTTTATTATTCCATCACGGGGACGCCACCACTATCCGTACGATGTAAATTCGTCCAGGATAACAAGGCAGCGCGGTCGAAACACCATTTTAATGTATTCTCTTTGGTTGTAACAGGCGTTTGGCCACGGTTAAGAGCAGAACTTTACTCGAGATTCGAGAGAGCGACGGCAAACGATTTCATGCTTGCACGGGTAACACGCTTACGTGAAAAACCTTTCAGCTTGCTTGGAATCTGCAGGGTGATAAAATTCTGTTACCGACGGATTCGTTAAACAGCCGTGATCTTCTCTGATCGTTAAATGGTAATTTTGAACGAATATGAATCGTTAACGATCACCCTTTGCTGAAATAGAGAAAAATTTACGAACTTTGTATTGTATCTGAAAATTTCACGACGATTTTAAATAATTTAATAGTTCCTATGGTTTTAGAAAGATATTCAACGTTCTCGAAATGATATGTAAATTTCTACTTAAATTTCAAAGAGTTAAAGAAGTCAATTTGCCAGGGTGCAATCTTATCTGAAAATTGCTGGAATCTTTCAGGGGTGAGCACAAGATCCCATTCGTTGGTGAAGAGGTTCGATGGGATGTACATGGGGCCGTACTTCGATTCAAACATCCCCACGAATATCACGGCTCAGCTCGGAAGTCATGCTTACTTGCCATGCAAAGTGCGACAGCTTGGTAATAAATCGGTAAGTCCATCATTTTTACTCTAAGCTTTAAGAAAATTGGAAGTCTTCTTGGATAACCCATGGTTACTTGCAACATTTTAAAGAACCCTTGCTTGAAACATTTTTAAATAGCACACGAATCGATGAAGACCTCTTGCGACCCGAAAAATAAAAGTACCCTAAAAATTTCGTCGTGGAAATATTTAGAATTTATTTGCAACTTTGCCAATGGGCCTTGTTTGAAACATTTTTGAATAGCATACGGATCGATGAAGACGTCATGCGATCAGAAGAACAAACTTCGGCGTTCCTTAATTTCTTCGTCGATACGAAAAGCGTTGGCGAAATTTTCGGAACCGCTATCAACGTCCCTGTTCCTGGCAAAAAGCACGGCCGGATAGCGGCGTCACCTGAGCGCAGATAAAGCAGATTTATTTGCACGCGAATAGCCAGTTTTCTGAGTGAACCGGCATCGATGGTATCGCGCGGTCGGTTTCCATGAACCCGCTGATCCGGCATCAAAGAGAGTCGCACTATCGGCCTCCGCTTCCGTCGATATTTCGCACGAGAAGCCCGTCCGGTTCACGCTATTACAATAATCGAAACGGTGGCGATAAAACGGCGATCCCGATGCAACCTGACTCTATCGCCGATACAATTTATGCGCAACTATAAAAGTCTAATCTGTCCGCGTACGCGACCGTTAGAACGGATTATACGAGCTCCGCAAATTTTACGAGCAACAGCGGACCGTGTACGGTCCCCTGTGTACCACCTACACCCTGCTCAACCTGACGGGGGGTTAATTCAACCCTTTCATGACTACGAACCCAGCTGTGAGCTAAGGATTCATATACACCGAGGATCCATATACATAAATATTTAACCTCTTGGTAAGTTTGTGGTATAGAAAACAAAAGAAAATATACCGTTCTACAATTAGAATGTAAAAATTCATTTTCTCTGAATAATCTGCTGTTTGATATAAAAAGAAGGATAAATTGAAATGCGCAACTGTCAAACGGAACTTGAAAGTTATCAAGACCGAGGCAAATTGACACTAGGGGTGCAAACGGTTAATATAGCAGTGATATCGTACACATCGGAGAAAGTATTTAATACGCTGCATATAAAATGTATAGGAGGGCGAAAGAATTAAGGACCGGCCATACAGTCGGCAATGGGGTAGTAAAACTTTTTCGTATACGATTCATACCGTTCGTTAGCGAACTTTTACCCCGATCTTACGTACAGCCGTGTGTACAACCGTCTTGTATGTCGTAAGTGGCACGACTAAGTGTCTTGTGACACGCGACCCTCGTATAATCGTCCGGTTGCATAGTAAAGGGTCGCGAACCCCCGAATCGACTCGCGCGTCCCCTTCGTACCCCCCTTTTCACCTCGTCGTACTTATCGCGACCGGAATTAAACGTACTTCTACCGGTGACTTTCTGTCAACGAGAGCATTGTATCGTGCCTCGCAATCCCTCTGAACACGATCGAAAGCGATTTCGTGGAACGCTTGGTCGCCTCGATGACTTTTCATTTATTTCCTCGCGTTCCGTTTCCATTCCATTTTGTTCCGAGGAATGTGCCAAGGGAGTATGTCGTGTCGCATTGGAGGGCTGAATAATTATTCCACGTTCTTGGAACCGATCGAGTCCCCGTTGGTGAACGACAAACTTCGAGGAGGGATGATTAATCCTTTCTCCTTCTTGGAACTATTTGAATGAAAAATCTCACAATGATTTTTAAAAAATATTTCACTCCACCTATCTTTTATTTAAATCCTCCATATCGACCGACTTGCGATCTATTTTTCCAGTCGTGTTTTTAATGGATGTTCTTTAATTGAAATATTCGATCGACGACTATTATTAGAAATGGATCAATAAGATTACGAAATTATACTTGTAAAGCTTTCCTCGATCAATGACCGTAATTCACTAGTATCTTACGCTCGGCACGGACAAAGGGTCAATTAGCCCAGTTCGTTGATTGCAACTTTTGCCTAGTTATAAGACGTCATTATACTTCGCATCGCGCGTGTTGAATCGAGCCGACGATACTTATCGCGTAAATAAATTGAACAACGTGCCCGTTAATACGATTTCTTCGAAGCCGCCTCGCTGAAAGAACGTTCGCGAAACCGATCGGGCTAGGATAAATTAACCGCAGACAAGAGAAAGAAGATTGATCGAGCGAGAATCGGAAAGTCGAACTCGACCTCGACTCGCTCTTTTTCCTCTCGGCCAGCTTTTTCCACGATTTTTCAGTTTCCGTTTCCTACCGGTGGTCGGTGGGAGGAGCTCGCGAAATCCGCCAGATACAGTTGAATTTCACTTCGTCCCATGGAAACGTCTCTGTTGTTTTATTTCCCTTTTTGTTCGTCCCCGTCGTGGAAGAAACGTCCGCGCTTCGACGAGAAATCCGACAACGAACCGAGTATCGGAGAAAGGATTAATAATTTTCGCGCGGTGTTACCGTGGTAAAACGACGAATAGGATAGTCTTCTTTTTTTTTTTTATTTTTTTTTTCTTATTTAAATTGCTCAGATGTAAAGCTGACTATTTTTCTGTTCAACTTTTGCGATGATTATAAACTCTTTCGATTTTTGTTAAAAGATAAAATTAAACTAGTGCTGTTATCCAGAATGAAACCTTGAAGGCAACTTCAGTGCTTGTTGATAAAAGTTCAATAAAAGTACTGGAATTAGTCCCAGTTGTATGGAAAAGTTACATAGGATCAAAGTTAAATGAGACATTTCTTGGCATCAACTTTTTTATACTGTTCGTGTTCTTGAAATTGGAACGACGCTCGTACCAACATACACGTTTGCGTTTGAAGAAATAAAACGTCACCGTTTCGTTTTGGATTTATATAGCAGCGTACGAGATGATTTTGAAATACGTGAGCGAACTTATCAAGCGTGTTCAGCTCGCCATTAGGATGAAAAAGGATCGTGGAAACACGACTCCTCAGGAACTCGTTCTGTCCGGGCTATAAACAAGTTTTAAACACTTTCAAGCTTGTGACCAAGTTTTACAAGAATTTCTCCCGCGCGTAATACACGAACGCGTAAGTCAACATTATACTTTGATACCCCGCTCGCATGAACGTTAAAAAACTAAATTCCTCTGCGATAGAATTCAAAATGTTTAAAATTCTTTCGAATGCTGTTTTATATTAATTGCGATACAGTGTGATCAGCTGTTATCGAAATTTGTCTATTTGTTCTCGATACGCCAAAGGTGTCGTGGGTCAGAAGAAGGGACTCGCATATCCTCTCGGTAGATAGAAACATGTTCATCCCGGACGAAAGGTTCCAGGCGCTTTTCGTGGACGCGTCGGACACCTGGACCCTGCAGGTGAAGTACGTCCAGGCACGTGACGAAGGCGAGTACGAGTGCCAAATCTCGACCGACCCAAAAAAGAGTCACATCATCAAGCTCAACGTCGTCGGTGAGTGACGATATTAAGGGAATCACTTAGAGATTAACCCATTACACGTTTTCCTAATAAATATTAGGTCATCTGAAAAATTTGTAACGCTTTTCGAGTGCGAATTCTGGATTGCATTGAATAGAGGACGCGCTGTGTGCGTCGTCAATCTAGAACACGTTAAGAGATAACCACTATCGTTCGTTTACGCCCGAGCGTTATTTTTATGTCATCGCGAAACAGCTATGTCATCGATCGTTCGAGCACTTCGCGAACCAGCGTGTTCCAGCGACGCGATAAAAATTATACGAGCGTAAAGTACAGACATTCTCTGTTTCGCGTGTCACGTATACGATAAAACGTCAGCTCGAGTAACTGCTCGACGTGTTCGTTAATTGATTTACTTTGTCATACAAGTAACGGTACGCAAAGTGATACACACCGATTTCCATGCCCTTTTAGCGCGAAACAGTGCTTGAAAAAAAAAAAATTGTTTCACATGTATCTCTTTTTTTTTATCTACAATCGTTCAGTCTGAAGAGGTGAAAACAGCCCTTGAAGTTTGATATGAAATCATAGGTTGGGAAACTATTTGTTGTAGAGGAAAAGCTTGAAGATGAAATTTCAAAGTTTTCGATGAATAAATTCACGGATGACACGGATAGAGACAGATGTTTGTTGTCGTGTTTTTTCAGTGCCAAAGATCGAGATCATAGGCGATCGCGACATGTACGTGAAGACCGGAAGCACAGTCGCCATACGATGCGTGATCAAGCAGTCCCTCGAAGGGCCGTTCTACGTTTTTTGGTACCACGAGGGCGATCGTGTTCTCGACTATCAATTGAACAAGATCGATATCCAAACGGAGAAGATCGATCACGACACGGTCAGCAGTCTCGTGATCCATAAGGCGAAGCGAGAGGACTCGGGCAATTACACCTGCAGCCCAAGCAGTTTGGACAGCGCGAGCGTGCAACTTCACGTGTTGAACGGTAAGCATTTTCCCGTTCCAATAACATAAATTTTCATCGAAACGATTCCATCTCGGTCTAGGATACGTACGCAAAGTTGCGATTCGATTGGCAGTAGTTCGATGAAGTTAGTTCACCGGCAACTTGATTCGCTTCTCGTCTGGCCTAGTTCTATCAAACTTATTAAGTAGCTGAAACTGTTTACGCTTCGAGTATGATCCATATCTAGATTCGTAGGAAATCGAGCGGCCAATTATACGTCTCCTTGCGCTCTCGACAATTCACGGCTCGGTGAATCATTGGATGTATTATTCCGTCAGGAAACAATTTAATCTTTAATAAATCTAATTGATTGTTTCTTCTCTAGACCTTGATCAAGCTATACAATCAAAATTAAACCACAATGTACACAGCGTTTCGCTTAAAAAAACATTAAAAGAACATTAGGTCAGTTTTCAAGATTACGTCGAGCGGGTATTGTGTCGAATACAGACGCGAAAGAAGGAGAAACGAGAGAAGAATAGAAAGGAGGTCCGTTAATGGAAGGAAAGCCATTAAATCCAGTAGGTTATTGCCGCGATAAAAGCAACGGTGGTGTAAAATCAATTCTCTGCTGCAGGCGAACATCCAGCCGCGATTCAAAGAGGGATCAGCTCGGCACCGGGTGGCTGTCCGACGCTCTGGTGGTTGGCTGGCGTCGTCACGCTGTATTCCAGTCACGGCAGCCGTCTGTTCGTCCTCGCTCTTCTGATCCTCATGGTACTCTATTCGAAGAATCCATCTTACTTCGCGCCGGAACGATAATCAGAAATCCACGAGGAAGACAACGTCGGAAGGCGATCGATTATCTCCTGCTACGAGACCCGGAAAGCACCTCGAAGAACGAAGAAGGCTACAAGAAGAGGAAGAAGAAGCGAAAGGGAACGTCTTCGGGAAGAATTCGTAGTTCGATGAACGAAGAAGGGATGATCTTCTCGCAGAAACGCGAAAATAAAACGCGGATCTTTTTTCCTTTTTTTTTTAATCAACTATTATCCATTTACCTTTTCAGTTAGATCGAGAACAATGAAATTCTCGAATTTTATTAGAGACGATTTTCTAATTCTCGATCTCTTGTTTTAACGGATTTGGAAGGGAAAGCTGGTGTGTTTCGATAGAGGAATCTTCACAACGAATCTTGTATCGACTCGTGAATATTTCGATATGATCGATATTTATTCGGGAAAGAACAGAGAAGATTCGAATGAATGGAGATAAAGAAACACGTGGAGACAGTGTGATCCGGCCGTTAGTGATTAGGGGTTAATTAATCGGAGGGTGTTAAATAGGCGCGTGTTCTTCGAGCGAGTCGATCACGAGGATGATACGGACAAGAAGCTTGCGAATACTTTTCCTCTTCGTAAGAAGACGACACGACGACGAATTTTTTATAGCAGCTATAATACGATCTTCCAAGAAACTCGTGCACAGCGTCTTTTATATCCTTGTCATTCAGGTGAATCGTTCCGAGCAATCGTTAAAAACGTCGCTAAGACAGAAACATCATTGTACATACACGTGTCTGATGATAGAATCGGTAAAATGATCGTGTACGAGACACGGTGTCCCGTATCAGGGATACGAGTGAATCGCAGGTTACCCTTTCTTATTCACTTTTCATCATCGTCAAAGGTGTTTCGCGATCTTCGTGTCTTTCTCGAGGGAAGCCAAACAGTAACGAAGTCTTCGTGATCGATCGCGTGATTCCGTCGAGGACGTCGAAAGGGTTTCGTGCTTTCTTTTCCGTCGAGATTAATCCCTTGTCTTACAACCTGGAATTACACACGTGGTGTAAATTACGGTCTAAATGGAAAGAATTCGTGCTAATTTTATTTTATAACAAGAGCAAGAAAATCATTTCTAAACTTATATTTTTTATTTTAATTGGTAAGGCAGAGGATTAACTCGACGATCCAGCGATTTTAGAAGAAAAGAAAACTAGGGTGAGTCAGGGTATGATTTAAGGGTGGTTTTAAAGAAACGCGCGAGGCGATCGCAAAATGCCGACAGAAGTTCGTCCGCCCCGCTTGATAGAATTGAAACTTGTTCGATGAGAATCTTGGAAGCGATGCGATTAATTATATTCGAATAGGGAAACGATTTAGCGAAACGTGTCTATACTCGACCGTCTACCGTGTACACTCGGGATCGTCCCGAGAAAGCGACGCATCTCGACGATCGTCTACGAGCGACGATTTGTCGAAATGGTCCTAAACCGCATCAGGTACGAAACGATCATTTCCACATATTTTACCTTCCTTTTCTACGTGTTTTATGAGAACTTTGTGTCACGAATGTTGACGATTGACGCGCTTTATCTTGTAACGCTTGAAACGCGACTGAAATGAAAGTGATATCGCACGGAGAGAAAAGAAATTAGAGTTCGTTTGTTTGTTGAAATGATTTGATGATTTCTCAAAGTGCCATTCATATCAACGAGATTTAATCTTCATATCATAGTTTTTTACAGTTCCTGAATATTTCCGTATCAATAAAACCAGGAGTCTTGATAAGATAACTGATAATATCGACACAAATCATTAATTTTACAAAGAAAAATGTCACTGCCTGTATTACTCAATGGTGTTCCACTGCTATATGAAAATAACGTGATTCTCTCTGCGATTTAGTATTACGATCGTTTCTTATTATATTCTATTTACGAGAAGGAATATAGAGCCTATACGAAACGTACCGAATGCCTCGCGACGATCCACGGTGACAAATTTTGGTACTTGAAGCGCATTGAGTATAAACACAAGCCAATAAACAATGTTATATGTCCGTTCATGCGTGGCAAGATTTACAACGAGATGGGTCGTACGAAAGATCAGGGATCATTAACAAATGAACGCTTCGTCGATGCAGAATTCATTAACATTGATAAACACGTTCGCTACTAGAATTCATTTAAAAATTGGCTGTGTTCCACTTTTATAAAATATCAAATAAAATGATATTACTATCTTTTCATATTATGTTAGAGCTTGGAAACGAGCTTGGTATACTTTGAAAGCGTAGAAGATAAATATTCATAATCTTCGCATACGTTTGTGACCATGACCTTTCCTAAGGAATAAAAATGTTACATATACAGGATGCTGGTAGCGAGGGTGTTAAAAATACTCGCAATGAAATGTTTGAACGATAGACCTAGTATTTTTAACCCTTTAGATACTGCGTGCCACTATAGTGGTTTTTGTTTGAACAATTTTTTAAAACGAAACGCCACTATAGTAGCTTTTCTTTTTATCTTGAATTCACGATATACCGAATAGCAATTTCTGCTATTTCTATCATTTATCTGCATTTCTTTCTACTGAAGTAGATGCAGTGAATTCTAGTAGTAGAATCAATACGTCCAACTATGTCATAACTAAAGGGTTAATTTTGTCCTTTAATTTCCGCCAATTAAGCATCGATTCGAAACGATTCTTGAAACTCGTACAGATCGACCCAGCCCGTTTTCTCATTCTGCATGGTCGGCTGTATAAGCAGGACAGCTTTTCCGGGTCGCCCTCGGGCGTCCCGTAAAATTTGCTTTCTTCTCGCAACGCATTAGGAGATACTGTTTTTTATATTATATAAAAATATATATAAATATATATATATAGAAACGAACAGATAAAAAAAAAAGTATATATATATGTATATGTGTGTGTACGCGCGCGCGAAATACGTTGCACAACGGTGTTAAAAAGTATTGAACAAGTTTCAGCTCGACTCGAAACAGCGGCGTAAGAAATTATTACGGCAAATGCTACAACGTGGGTCAACGTCGAAGAACGAACTTTCACGGGTGCATACGGCAGGATATAATCGCGACAGAGAACTCTGTGAGTAATCGTGAAAAAGAAAATGATAAAGAGGAAGTGGCGGAGGAAGGAGACTGAGACAGAATAAGGGTAAAAGAGGAGGAAGGTCGATATAGGAGATCGAAAGACGAACGATAACGTTAGAATATCTACGATTCATGTGATTGTAAATATATAGTATATAAATGACGTAACGTTAATTAACGATATGCCGTACGTGTTACAACTAAAGAAAACAAACCCAAGAAATTAAACAGATAAATAAATAAAATGAATAACGTTACTGTGTAATTTTACGGATCGTAAACGCATTTGAATGGGTCTGGCCGCCCGTGCTAACCGGCTCGAGGTCGTGTTTCGTAAATCGTGAATCTTTGAATCCAGCAACGATTCAAGATTTCCTGGGAAAAGAGAAATGAATGCGTGCTTTAAAACGGGTTCGTTGCGAAAACCTTCCAGATGAAGTTCCACGACGCGTGACGATTTCTATAAACGAACCGCAGCGGGGGGAACGAAAGACCTCGGTGAGAAAGATAAAGAAGCAAAAGAAAGCCGATAGAAATAGAAGGTAAGGGGGTGTGAAGAGAGGAACAGAGGGTAGCACTGATGCGAATGCTTTTTCCGGCACGCCAGTGCGTCGAGACAACAAAAAGGGGCGCAGCTGGGGGTGCAGCGCGTTCCTGGATAGCACGGGCCGGCCATACGCGACTAGATGTAACACTAATTAACGCCTAGTGTAAGAACTAACGGATATAAATGAAGGATACTATTGTATGACATAATAACCAGGTGTGAACGTAACCACGCGTATACGTGTGCGATGCTTGAGAAAAACGAATGAAAGTGAGAGCGAGTGAATGTGTATATTATTAATATACGCGAGCCAAGGAAGTGCGAGAGTGAAAGAGAACGGGTATGAAAGAAGAGTAAACGAGAGGAAAAGTACACGTACATTGCATACACACGCGAGGAAGAGAAGAAAATAAGAAGAAAAAAAAAGAAAAAAAAGAAAAGAGTTGTTCGTTGGACTGACGCGTTAAGGCGTTGGTCGAATGACGCACTTTAAGATAAAAAGGGGCGACCGGGGACAATTCTTCTTGTACCGTTTCTTCATCCCCTTTCTTCTTCCCGCGCCTCGCGAGGCCACTCGTGACGAAAGATAAAGAGAAAGGGCTAAAGATAGGGCTCACCTCGAGGCCACAATTAAAGCTCTCACCCCCTGTCTCCCTCCCGCACCCTTTTCTTCTCGCGACAACCGGGGCCTCCCCTTGCGAGCTGGAAGAAGGAAGTTGTAATTTCCACGCTCGTCCTCGTCCGCCCCTTTATTATAACAGAGATAACAAAGAGAAGAGGAAAGACGAAGATGATGATGATGATGATGATGTTGATGATGAGGGGTGATGATGATTATAACGATGGCGATGATGATGACGGTGAATTAAATAAAAAGAAAAATGAAATAAAAAAACGTCGTCTAAGGTATACTAACGTCGTAGACAGCATTGAATTTTTGTACCATTGTCTATAGTAGCTCTTAAGTGTCGCGAAGTTTTCTGTTCTTAAGACGGCCACCTGTGCAGGCTTGAGTACGTACTTATGTATTCTCGGTTTTGTCGATGGCTCGCGGGGCGGATCTTGAACTTTATTAACAGTGAATGAGATTTTAATTGGACCATGGATGATTACTTGAAACGTAGAAATAATTATATTCAATCGTTTTGCATTTGTCTATGTACAGAGTGTTAAAGGATAATGATACAGAACCCTAACAGGGTAGTAATTAACTGGAGGAAAAACAGACCTATATAATTAGAGGTATTTAAGTAAAATTTTCTTTCTAATGATTTTATCAAGCAATTTTCATTTAATTGAGCGAATCTACTTTGTGGGGGTCTTGTACCTTTTTTTTACCACTCTGTATAAATCTCTCATTACGTAGAATGATTTAATTAGGTTAATTTGGAATTTTCCAGGGTAGTAATTAGAGAATACACGTCAAATCCGCCCCAGCGACGAGCACGTGCCCGTTCCCGAGAGTCGCGGTACGCGAATATCGAAAGATCCTTTTTCGTGTGATGATTGACCGTCCTGACAGTTCGTCGATGTGCTCTTACGCGTAGATATTCGAGCTAGTTTATTCGATAGTAGGTAATACGAGTGACAATGGACGTGATTACGATTCCGTCGAAATCAACGAAGCGGGAATCAGTTTTGCTGCGAACCTATCGATCTAATTATTCATAGAGAACGTTTAGTGTTCTTCTTGAATAATACTCTTGCAATCGATGGGGGAAACTGGATCGCTGTACAGACGATTTCGTCGATGAAGTTCTTATACTACAGCGGCGTGAACTTATTCCCCGTGAAATAATGGATGGATATTATTAACTCTATGGGAAACGTGTACGAATGATTATTGTGATTTTAACCCTCTACCGCTTTGTCACTAATACAGCTAATCGTGACAAATTTTGCATTTCTTTATGAAATCCTTTTTGAGAAAAAACAAACTGTGTGCTTTGAAAAAGTTTTACTTTTTATTTTAAAAATCAGCTCTTTCCATAAGTAATATCGTTTTATCTTTAACTAATACGTGTCCTATACAGCCTAGGTTACAATTACTTGAATTTATTATGACACTTTAAGATATTACATTTACGTGTGAAAACGACGTAACTTATGAAACGACCTGAACAAGTTTCCATTCTTTATGGGAAACTTTGCGTTATAGAATGGCTTATAAAGCGAGTAGAATATTGGCTGTGGAGGGTTAGAAATAAAGGGTATACAGTCGTCGATCGAAACCCTCGGGACGGAGATTTCACCAATCCCTCGTTATCGGCGATATATTAATAAACGATTCGTCGTTCTTTCCTTAATTACCTATGTACCACGAACAAATAGAAAAATCCTTCGAGACGTCTGATAATGAGATTTAAACAAGGTCAACACTATTCTTCGATCCTTGGAGAATATAGAATGATGACAGTTAAAATCAATTCAAAATCAAGTGTCTCGATACGAAGAAGAATCGTTGTATAACGAACGCGTTCAGTTTTCCAGTAACCTCCTCAAACAATTACGTTTTCCAACGTGCGACCGATCACACGTAGCAAAATGGGTCTAATTAAATCGTTAAACGCGTGCCGTTTGCCAGTTCGAACGTTCGACGAAGCTGATGTCTAATTAATCACACGCAACGTACAATCGACGCAGAAAATAATAACATGGACGATTAAGAGGGAATTGGAAGACGAATCGGTAAGAAAGACGATGGCAGGTGAAAGCGTTTGTCGAGCGCCCGAATGAGCGAACATCGATGAAAATTAAATGGAAATAAAAGTTAAGAGGTAAATATGCAAAGATGAAGATGAAGAAAATGAAGTCCCTCGAAGCAAGCCTCGTCTCTCAGATTCCCAGCTGTACACCTTGAAACACTTTAGGGTAAATCGGAATAGACTTTAAAACGAATCTGCGAGATGATGCCGAGGATAAAAAAACGAAAAATACGATTGCGCGAATGAAACGCAGGATGAGAAACGAGCGGAAGTGAACGAGCGCAAGTGAACGAGCGCGTGGGTGTACGAAAAAAATAAAGCAGAGAAAAAGAGAGAATGATCAGAATGAGAGAGAGAAAGAGATAATAAATCAATGTTAAACCGATCATTATCAATTTGCAATTTTGAGAGACACATCTTCGTTATTCGCCATTTCTCAGCATAAATTCAGCCTCGGTTTCGAATGCTCCATGTCAGCCTTCACGAGCATAAATCACAACCGCGATCAATCGATGCTCTGCGTAGGATTTCTTGTTCGATCATTTTATTTTTCTCTCTTTGTAAATGGGATAACAAACCATTAATGATATCGGTGTGCTGGACGTTTTTAATGCCAGATGCGTGCGTTTATCACCCGTGGGGCATCGTCATGAGAAAAAATACATGTTACACAGAAATCTCAGCGTTTTCGTTTTATTTTTTTTCTCTTTTTTCTTTGTCAAAAGTATCGTGGCAACAGGGATAAGAAGAACTGTCCCGTTCTATGTGTGTAAGAACCATACAGCTTAATGAAGAACATTATACTATGAACTTACAGGATACTAAATAAAAGTAAGCCAAATCGTTAAGATCGTATGATGTCCCCCTCCTTCCTTCTCCTTCGTTTCACCGATAATCCAGCTTTCTTTTCATTTTCATTATGGTTCATTATTTGGAAAGGTTTTATTTTTATAAAAGAACAAACATAGATTTACTAATATTAAATTTATTACGTAAATATCGAACATATTACAAACATCACATACTTGTCGCATCATGAAACCTTTGCGTCTCTTATTAACTCCGGATAAACATTTATTCAGATTTTTTATTCTTGTCGCGCATTTTCATACAGTTTTGGATGATTTTCTTGAAATTTACAAGGTACCAGGCACTTACAAGCCGGAATAAACCAACCAACATCGATTGCGAAAGCAATTCCATGATGGAGTTAAATGGTGACATTCCCACGCATAGTACAGTCAACATGAAACCTTCTATACCGACCGTAGAGAAGAATTTTCCAGCCTAAAAGATATTTAATTTTATTGATTACAATTATTTTATTGAATCAAAGTATTCGATTTGCTTACCAATGCATCCTTAAAAAGTTTATCTGCTACCACTTCTGGACTGACTAAAGAACTGGTTTGAGATATAAGTTTTGTTTCAAGAGGTTTGGACAATTCTTCTATAGCAAATCCAGGTGTATCAGTGTCTGGAGGTAAGCTAAGGGTCACAGAAATGTTATACGGTGCAAGTTCCATGGATATACTTTCTGCCAAGCCACGGAGAGCAAACTTTGTACTACAATAAGCTGAATAACCAAATATACCTGGAACACAAAAACACACATGATAGATATTAACAGATTAATAAAGATAAATATTAAAGTACATACCTAATAATGCAGCTTGAGAAGATGTTAATACAATAATTCCATCTTGAGAAGCTTTCATTCTTGGAACAACAGCTTTTGTACAATAATATGATCCCAGAAAATTAATATGGATCATTTTGTTTAGATCTTCCACTGAGGTATCTTCAATTTTCCCACAAATTGCAGTACCAGCACAATTTACTAACATATATATTGGTCCCATGGTTCTCTCTAAATCATTTAAAGCTTTCTCAACCATGTTGTAGTCATCCCCAATGTCCAAGGACAAGTATTCCACTTTTTGAACATTTTTATTTTTACATGCACGAATTATTTCATTTCTTGCTGCCTCTAATTTTTGAACATCCCTTGCAATTATTGTTACATGTGCTCCATACTTGGCAGCAAGAATTGCTACACATTTTCCTATGCCACTGGATCCTCCAGTTACCTAATGGAACAAATAGTTTATTAAGAACGGAAAAAACTATAAATCAAACGAAATAAAAACAGTTTCTCAAAAGAACTACGAACAAATAACCTTAAAAGAGGTTAAGTTAGGTTATATCTATGTTACTTACAACAACATGCTTATTGTTAACATTTTTTAGACGCCCTCGCCAAAAGTAATATCTCGCGAATAAAGCAGCGATTACTAGGGAAATGATTATTAGCGCTATTTTAAGCATTATTATTTTGTTACTTTTCCAACACTAAGATTTAAGTAAATACCGTTCAAAATCACACATATAAGTGCGCGAAATTTTACTTTTTATCAATACGAGGCAGATTTTGTTAACATGTATAAAGTCTACTAATCTTACAATTTAATTTAATCATTTAATCATACTTTCTACTTCGCCAGTGAAGGACGGCAGAGCTTTCAAGATAAGATTTCAAATATTCTTGCATTGCAATATTATAACTGAGAAGGTGGAAATTCTATGAGGTTTTAAAATTTAATTAGTTGCAATCAGAAGTAAATAAATATAGTAATCTGTATACACATGTATTAATTATCAATTGAAGGAAGTTGCGGATATTATCTTTAAGGTGATGCGAGCGTCGAGGCCGAACTTCGAATTCCGCGTCTGTAATAAACTTTATATTTATTCGTGATATAAACATTTTTGCGAATCATATGTCCAAGTGGAGACCAGAGAGCCATTTTTGGGTCGAATAGAACAAAACGAGCACTCAGGGGATGGTGTACAAGCCTCCAGGTAGAAGAAATTTGAAAACTACGATTTCGTTGATTGTTCACTTGCGAAAGATGTCAACAAGGTGTCAGTGCATGGTAAGGTAAAAGAGGAACTGGTAAAACAGAGACGTTTATCACACCGACTGTGCTCTTGGTGCGCAAACCTAACTTCAGTTCGGGGTATCTGAGACCCCAAATTCTTGATCTCCCAAAAACAGAGGCATGTCCAATCTTTTACCTACACAAAGCTATCCGGAAGGAATAATAGAATATGATTATTTTGAATTTTTCTTATACGGAGAACTACCCAAGTGTTACACTCACTTATTAATGAAACTTTGCCAGCATGTAGAGCTCGTCGAGCTGAACACGCCTATACCCCCTCTTGAGGGTAGACGGCTAATTGTTTAAAAGATATTAACAATTACAGTTAGTTACTCCTTACATTCTGAAGTATGACAAACTCACACATACAACTCACAATCTAGAGATCCACGGTTCAAATCCTTGGTTCCCAACATTTTTTTTTTGTAATGATAATTTGTCTCTTTTTGAATAACAATTACATAAAAATTATCATTTAAAAAAAAAAAAAAAAAAAAAATGGGAACCAAGGATTTGAACCGAGGACCTTTAGATTGCGAGTCATGTAATTAACCACGGAGCGGATCCATAACTCGCAATTTGAAGGTCCTCGGTTCAAATTCTTGGTTCCCATTCTTTTTTTTTTTTTTTTATGATAATTTTTACGTAATTTTTACGTAATTTTAATTAGCTGTAATTATCTTCTTAGCTTACTGAATAAACTCCTTAGGAGAACGAACGTGTTGATTTTATTACTTCCGTCTGCACCTTTTATATCTTTGATTCCACTATATCTCTGCACCCTTATATCACTGCATCCATTACATCCCAGCAACCCTTACATCTGAGTATTCCTAACATCCCAACATTCTTTACATCTCTTCATCCCTTACATCCCTGCATTCTTTTCATCCCTACATCCCTTACATCTCTGTTTCCCTTACATCCCTGCATTCCTCACATCTCTACATCCCTCACATCTCTGGATTCCTCACATTCCTGCCTTCTTTATATGCTAACATCCCTTACATCCCTGCATCCCTTACATGCTTGTATCCTTTACATCCTTGTATCACTTATATTCCTGCATTCCATAAATCCCAGTACCTCCCTGAAATTGAATTGAAATTTTTGCGGCTATGAGGCCTGCGATTTTATACAAATTTAATTCCTTTTTTCGCCACCGGAGGGCGCTGATTCGACATCGAAATTTTAGTTCACATTTTTGCCGCCAGAGGGCCAGAAATTGAGCAAGATTTGTTCCCTTTTTCGCCACCAGAGGGCGCCGATTCGACATCGACATTTTAGTTCACATTTTTGCCGCCAGAGGGCCAGAAATTGAGCAAGATTTAGTTCCCTTTTTCGCCACCAGAGGGCGCCGATTCGACATCGACATTTTAGTTCACATTTTTGCCGCTAGAGGGCCAAAAATTGAGCATGGTTTAGTTCCTTTTCCCAAAAACAGATGGCGCTGATTCGACATCGAAATTTTAGTTCACATTTTTGCCGCTAGGGGGCGCTGTTTTTCTCAAAATTTTCGCGAAATTCTCGAAAAAAACTTACCTTTACTTAGCTCTACTCGAAGCAGTCTTTATAATATATTTATTATAAGGGATGCAGAGGTGTAAGGAATGTAGGGATGAAAAGAATGAAGGGATGGAAGGCGTGTAGGGATGAAAAGAGTGTAGGGATAAAAAGAATGTAGGGATGAAAGGAATCCAGGGATGAAAAGAATGCAGGAATGTAAGGGATGCAGAGATGTAACGGAACGAGGGATGTAAAGGAATTCCGCAGGGGTCCGGGGGTGGGGCCCCGGTCTCCACTGCACGCGGCCCAAGGAGTGCCGGCATCGAGTGTGGCCCCCGATGTCGGCGGAGTTTGGCACATGGCGGAGGGTCAGAAGACCCTCCCTACCGCCCTAATGTAGTCCACCGTGGTGGTTTTAGTGGGTGAAAATCCCACACTACCTCCGGCCCCTCCCCAGAGGGGCTGAAGGTGTCTTTCTGAAGATTTCCACCACGTTAAAAAAAAAAAAAAAAAAAAAAATGGGTTTTTAAAGGTTGCATGAATGTAAGGAGTGCATGGATGTAAGGGATACTGAGATGGCCTGGCCTATAATGAGGGATAAAATTATGTAAATAACAGGAAAAAGTAAAATAAATGGGGCCCTCGGCTAAGACCCAGAAGAGGGATATAATCATAAATGTTATATCCTGATTGTGCCCTCTTCATACGGACCTGATATTATCCAAGGGTGTTAGGGACCGCGCTGCCCCTTTGCGTACCGACCTGATATCATATTGGGGTATTAAGGACCCCGAAACACCGGTGACTATCTTTGCATACCAATAATATAGCATCCGGGGTGCCAGGGACCCCGAAGCATAAGTG